TTATTCAATGAGCTTAACTTGGTTCTCACCTATCTTCTATATGATAATGAAAAGGTTGGGAAATGCAACCTAAAAACATTCAATGGCCCACAATGAGTGAACGTATCGAAATCTAGTGGTTTTAAGAATGATAGGCAATGAATTTCTACCATTTCTACCTCTACCACAGAGAAGGGAGCATGAAGGGCCTTTTTAGATTTAGGAGAGAGCATCCACTTACTGAGATGCAAGGTCATCAGTTTTGAGTAAAATCCAGAAGATGGAGTCTCTACTGTGGCTCAAGGTTACCATGTTTGATGTTTTTATACCTTGATCCAGTAGATCTGATGACACTAAAAATCTCTATATGAAACACCAATCCTCTACAGAGCCATTTTCCCTTAAGTGAATCACAGAATAGATGTCAGAATAGATATTCAGAATTCAGGACCAGCACCATGATAGCTGTTTCAGAAAATCTATCCTTCCTTACATAGCAGTATGGTACTGGAGACTTGATTGGGGACCATGAAGCTACAACACAACCTGAATTTCCAGTTATGAGCTAAGCATTGTTGAGCCGAGCATGTATCTACATAAAGCATGAATAATAGTAGTTCATCATCAATGGGCATGGAATACACACAAATTAATAAGCACTGACCCATGCACCCATAGTTCTGCTCCAGTAAATTTTGGAATCTATATCTATGGAGTCATGGGAAGTTATTGGTAAAGAGTCCTTGAAAAACAAATTGACCTTGTTTAAAGAAATCTTTGTATAATAGCTTGTCATCCAAAGTGAAAAGGCTACATCATTGTATCTCTACCTTATGGTGATTCAGAAAGGTAAATAACAGAAAAATGTCCCTGTGGGTAGAATTTCCATCAGTGAATCTCACTGCTGATTTTTTTCTTTCCTGAGAGGAGATAGAAGCAAAGATATGAAGCTACATTGCTTCATGGGCAGTAATTGACAGTTCTGGTAGCTTACTAGAGGTGTTGAACAAAGATGTTGAGGTAAACAAAATTGGAAACGGGAAAAATTAAAGGGATCAACTTCTAGGGTTGAGTAAAAGTACATCTGGAATGCTAGAGTGTCTCTTGGACTGTTGTGCCTTATAATTGCTTTTGTTACTATAATAAAATAAATGGAAAATAATCTCAGTTGTCAATGTCTGGGCCCTTCAGAAGACAAGGAGTCATGATGAAGGGTGTTCTTGCTGAGGACAAAGGGATGAGCAATGAAGCAGGGAGGTTATAAATACCATGACAACAAACTCAGCCGAGACAGGAACTGCCTTTCCTGGAAATCCCTTGCCAGTGTCACACTGGGTCAAGGAGTCTTAGAAGAAATTTGCATCAAGTTGGGGAAGAAGCAAAGAAAAGTTGCCACCATACTCTAGAGGAGGGTACCTGGGAGAATTATAGTGAGCATGTATTTTCCTTGACCCTTGACTCTGTGACAACTTGGCTTAGCAGAAGCCATGGTTTCAGCTCCTATGCTCTCTCCTGGTCTCCTCCTTCACCATCTCCAGCATATGCTAGGTGTTCACGTGTAGCAAAAAGCACTAGGTCCTTCAAGCATCCCACATCAAGGTGGATAGATAAAGGGCTGGTGTGCATCCTAGTTTGCCTTTGGGATTTCATCTTTGCACCCCTCTATTTCATGTCTAGTGTTTCTCTCTCATGGTGTGACCGATAGAGACTTCAGGACACAGCACAGAGAAGCAAAACTCTGTCGTGAGTCTTCCAATGTTTCTGATTATTTCACACCACTGATGGAGGTAACCACAGAGACAGAAGTCAGGAACCATTGACAGTATTGCTGCCATTCCCTACCACCTCCGAAGGGCAGCTGTAGGGGAAGCTGTAGCCACACCTTCTTAGGGGCTGGCTACAGGAGTACCTGAGCAGGCTTGTGAGGGCGTGGTCAGAGTGAGGAGGGGGTCTGTGTTTTGGTTTCGTTTTCTCTTTGCTTCTTGCTGTACATACTACCACCGGCTGGCTGGTTCGCTCTGTAAGTAAGGCTTTTCCCTATTAAATACCCTTATATTTCTACCTGACTCCATAATGGTAATTTCCTACCATATCTGGTTGTCGGAAGCGGGATATTGGAAACCCACACCCCATTTGGGACAGGCTGTGGGTTCCATCGGGCCCGCGGCCTAGGCCCAGAAAGCGCCCTCTCTCCACAGGCGTTCCCGGCTAGCAGCTTCCCCTACAGGCAGCTCTTCTACAAGTGGGTAAAGCTGGGGGCACTGTGATTCCTGAATATTTTATGACTCATCCTTTTCAGTACCAGAGCTTCCATGTTTTCTACTGTGCCCTGTCCCAGAATGCACCTACAACAAATGCCAGATCAGACAGTAGAACATCCTAGATTTAAGATTAAAAAATATTATCACATATGTCCATGTAGTTCATGTCCAAGATCCAGTTCACAAATAAGGTGAAGGCTAAGACTGCTTGATCTGCCCATCGGGCTCACCAGGCTTACCCCTCAGAAGACCCCGAGAAATCGGAGCTCTCCTAACTTTCAGAGTATGATTTGGGTCTTAATTCCACATTACTGCTCTACCTTCGCTTTTTCTCCTGTTTCTTGTCTCTTTATCTTTTCAGGGGTCATCTCTCATTTGCTGTCAACATGGCATCATGGGGTCTTACGAACTATTTATCCTCTATGTTGTTTTGCAAACACCTTCCAGGCAGCTTCCTGCCTCACTCTCCACCGGCCTACCTTGGTCCGAATGTAGCTAGCAGGCCTCCTTCTGTGAACTGTGCTGTATAGCATGACTGGTCCTCCCTGACTGGAAAAGTGTCTGTCGGCAACTGAAATCTGCATGGAGGATCTGTCTGGAGCTGCTCTGTTCACACCAAGGTAATGAAACCTGCTCAACCTTCCTAAGTCATTAGATAGATCATGGATTCATTCTATGAAATCGTTGTATTCTCTCCGTTGAGCCACAGACCTTGAGAGTCATGCACGAGGAGGCTAGAGACTGCTTTCTCAGAAGACGAAATCATTTCCCAACTCCACCCTGAAAGTCCCAGGCAGCTATTGAGACCCAGAATGCGGGGGATCTGCTGTCCCGTGCAATGGCAGGGCTGCTCCACTGTATTCATGAAGTGATTAACATTCCCCATGAAGGAATGGAGGCTGAGTGACTCAGAGCAGATTAGGAGAAAAGACCTGAGTCCTTCTCAGAATCCTTGGTATGCTGTTTGGCAGGGTTCCTGTCTGCCTCCAGGCAGACTGCCTCCCAAGACCCTAAATTTCCAAACACATACATCATGTCCACTGTCCACGTAGGTATTGATTCTTCCCCTTCCTTTGCAGGAGAAATGATCAAAAAAAGGCAGAGAGAAAGAAGAGGAAGGGGAGGGGGGAGGGAGGAGAGAGAGAGAGGGAGAGAGAGAGAGAGAGAGAGAGAGAGAGAGAGAGAGCATTATATTCTG